TCTCAACTGCTGGCTCAGTCAAAAATCGCACAGTCTCGGTCTCACTCAAAATCGCGAACGCTGCAGTCAGTCGAACAGGAGCCGATCGCGGTCGCGCCGCCATCGCGGTCAGCCAGGCGGGCGACAGCGCCACCTTGTGGTAGGGTCACCACCTTGCAGGATACCGTCCAGACCTGCCCGGCCAAGCCACAGCGCCGTCTGGTGGCGGGACAGCAACATTGCAACATTTTTTCACACTGCATACAGAAGGAAATCTAAATCAAAGACAAGTACAACACAGCAAATGGAGTTTTCATCAGCTTCTGAATCTCATGAAGCTCAAGACACTTTGATGAGGAACAGCAACAGGATGATACAATAGGCATTACTGCCTCAGAGGGTGTTCCAGCATGGATGTTTTCAGCAGCAACAGCAGCCAGTTCTTCAGGCAGGAAGCCAAATACCTTCTACAATATTTGAGCACGGCCATGGGAACACAAGCACGAGAATTTCAGATTCCTGTTCCGTATTTAGGAGCAAGGCCGAAGACTTCATCAAATCGAGGATTCCAGAGACAGCAATGACTTCTACAACTGCACTGTACATGCAGATACCCATGGAGCTGCAGGTTCCAGAAGAAGTGGAAGTTGAAACAATGGATTGGACAGATATTAGAAAAGAATTAGGAAAAGAAAAAGACATTGCAAGGTTCAGGAGACATGACAATGCCAGTGACTTACGATGCACAGGGTGAGAATGCAAGGTGGGATAGACTGGATCATGAGGTGGTTAAAGAATTAGCTGAAGTCATCAGAGACAATGGACTGAATTCACAATATTTTAAGCAGCTGCTGAAGGAAACTTTCAACATGTATGACTTTACACATTATAACATCAGTTGCCTTGTGCCAATGATTCTCACCAACACGCAGAATCTCGTGTGGAACACTAGATGGAGAAGATCTCTTGCAGACCTGAGGCTCAGATACCAAGGTGGACCAAACGCAAAACTCACAGTGGCACAATTAGCAGGTGATCCTCCAGATGACAATCCAACACAACAAGCAGCGAGGCTTCCAAAACAAATGCTGAATGACATCAAGGAAGCAGCACGAAGAGCAATCCTGCAGATTGCTCCAGCAGGACACAAGATATCCCATTCACAAATGTCAGACAAGGTCCCATTGAGCCTTTTTCCTCATTAACAGATCGACTCACACAAGCTGTGGATCAACAAGTGACAGATGACGTGGTAAAACCACATCTGATTGAACGTCTTGCCTATGCCAATGCCAATCTGGATTGCCAACGGGTCATCAGTCCGATGCCCGGTCAGCCTTCTTTGGCAGAAATGGTAGAGGCATGCAGCAAAGTGGGAACACCACAGCACGTTGCATCCATCGTGAAGCAGGAATTGTGAGGAGAGTTGGAAGAACAACTGGGAGGGCGGTTGGGAGAAAAAATGGAAAGAGTGCTTCAATTGCAGAATGAGAAGATCGACAAGATGGACAAAGTTCTAGTTAGCATTGAAAAGAAGAGCAACTCATCGGGAGGACAATGCTAGAGGTGAGGAGTATTTGGACCCATGAAGAAGAACTGCCCACAAGCACAAATGCAAGTGCCAAAGACAGAAAGGCCACTCTGTCCAAGATGCAGAAGAGGAAGACAATTTGCAAATGAATGGTATTCTCAAATGGATGGGGATGGAAAACCTCTACCGTGTCCGGGAAACGCCAGAAAGACTGTGCAACATCGTCAGCACGTGTCAACACAAGTGATGGCGATGACACAAGAGCAGACAGGACAGTCATCAAAGAATGTCGGGCAGATTCCCTCAGCAAAGTCATCAGCAGAACCTTCAGTGATCCAGAACTCCTCCCACCAGGAGCACAGTGCACATTGGCAGCTTCCAAGTTAATGTGCTTCTTGGATGGAAGTCACGCAGTGATGCCAACAGGTGTCAATGGGACTTCGCCCAAGAGACAAGATTTCTTAATAATTGGTAAAGACAAAAGCAGTACCCTTGGACTTGTTGTTTATCCTTCAATCATTTCAGCAAATCAAAACGAAGAGTTGACAGTTTTAGCCAAGGCTCTTCAACCACCATTGATTGTGGCAGAAAATACGCCGGTAGCAAGAGCTTTCGCCTTGCCACCACACGCCATGGAACAGGTCATGCCAGTGTTTGACAAAGAAGAGTTTCCTATGAAGGAACACGTGGAAGTACA